TTATACATACGATATCAAGTATGACTCAATATAACATTATGTGTATGTGTTATGTTAGGTACATCCTAGAATAAATTATATGTGTATATAGGTACCTACCTAACTATAGTTAGTTAGTATAAATATAGTAATAGACTATAGCCTATTCATATTCATATTAGTATAATATTTTCGTGCCATAAAAAAAGTAGTCGAACAACATAATAAAATATAATATTACCTATATTATAAAAAATACTAATTTATTTCATGTTTTTTATTCAAGGACTGTCGTCTTCTACGAATTACAGTTTACGATGTTCAATCATTTTGGAATGGTTAAGATTAATAAAAATAATAATGATAATATGTAAAAAAAATATATTATGCATGTTTATCTGAAAATACTAAAATACAAATGTTATCATCTAATATTCTAATGGTATTTTATTAATTATTTTATGATAAAGATGCTGTGAATTTGGAATGATAAAAATAATTAAATTTATATTATACAATATACCGGTTGAATGTGATTTACTCAATAGCTAATTGATATTTCCTATATGTCTTATATTACCTTTTAATATTGTTTTTATACTATTTATAATATTTAAAATTCTGAAAATGTTGTAATATTTGGAGGTGTTGGATTTAATTATTTATAAATTCTAACAATATAATTACGAAAAATATGTTAACGTACTTCAAAGTTTCATATTAATTGTATTTAAATTACATTTTTATAAATTGTATTATTATTATATGAAAAAATTACTTCAAGTACAAAACCTATTCAAAAGCTAACCTTCTTCTAGGCTAATTTTTATATTCAGTAAATCTGAATTAATTTTTGAAATTGAATGACTATTATATTATTATGTACCTATTATTGTGATTGCTGAATTTTTATATTATTATTACATTGCCTATTACGTGTAGGTATGTATCTGAGCCATAAGTATGTTTATTACTTTTGTTGAATCCTAATTAAAAGAATATTAGTATAGTAAAGATCATAATTCATAAGTCATTTTATGTCTATATTTATGACTAAAAGTACTTAAATTCCCATCCAAAAATTGATAATAGGGCATCAAGCTAATAATACTTATCCTACGTGGGTACACGGGTACATAAATTATAGTGTTAATTTGAATAAATACTCAAACCAGGAAAAACGTATTTTATAAGAAATTAAGAACACATAATACAATTCTTGTCCTTCATGGAATGGACATTTTAAATGAACACATAAAATATATAATCAAGTATTTAATGCTTAGTGCTACCAATTTAAAATTCTGCAATTTATTTTGTTTTTAGAATGATGAGGAAATTAATTCAAAATATTATATGTAGACATTCGGAATTATTTATTTAAAATAAACTTTTGTTATACAATTATAAACTAAAAATTATATATTAATTAATATATCTGTAAATCTTCATACATTTTTAAATGAAAATATACAATTTTAGTTTTTAACTCTCAACGATACATTTTTTTATGAATCATATTTTACAAAATTAATATATGTTTCATTTTTGTTCTGTTTAAAGTTTAAATATTTTGTTATTCTTCTTTTTGTAATGCTATTTTCAGAATTGAAAAATAATAGTTTACAAATAATGTTATGCTTCATTTATTAATATAAAAAATATATATATTTGAGAATTTTATTTGGTAAGTCCTCCAGATGCTATATGCTATTTCAGGAATTAATACGTAGAGATACTTTGTCTTATTACAGATATTACTTATTCGTTATTACAATTGAAAATACTTAAAATTAAAATTATAATATTTAATTATAATTATTGGCAGAGTGCCTACCTGGGTACCTCCTATATATTATGTAATTTACGAATGCCGGGTTATCTAATCGTTAGAACTCATCAAATAGTTAATTTGACTATATTATACCCAGTAGCGGACTGGCCCGGTGTGCCACTATTCTATAGCACAGTGGGCCGGTACCAAATTGTAAGTGTTGGGCCGCTACTATTTCTAGCAAATATGTATAACTATAATTGTTGTATTTAAATTTGTTTTTTTTGTTATTTTATAATAATATATTGGACGATTGGGCTGCTATTGCCCATCACAAACTACACAATATAGACACTAGTACACTACCTACCATATAAAAGATAACAAAAACATAATATATAGATATACATTATAATTAAATAATATGGATATCAATACAATTAAAAATGTTTTATTTCTGGTAACGTATAACGTTATTGTCCTGTCAGGGATTTTATGCCGTGTGGCGTGTATAGCAACGCATTTATAAAGTAGGTATAAATAAATTCAGATCGAATTAAAAGACTATGGCCAATTTGACTATTTTATTCCTGTCAAATTAGACGAATAATTAGGCTTTAGCTCGGAAAAATTAGCACAAAGCCAAATTTCGGTTTATATAGGATGGTTATTTTGTAAATTGATTGAAATTCGTATACCGCACGGTAGAACTGCCGGAAAATAACGAAAATATAGTGAATACAATATTATGAATAATGAGTAGGTACTAGCCAACGTGGTTGTTTCTATGTTTAGCATTATTTTATATTTCAATAATTTAAATTTAAAAGAAAATTTTGGGAATAATATGTATTTTATATAATATTATATACCTAAACATACTGTAACGGAATGATCTGAAAAAAATTACACTACTCTTATGACTACAGTCATGAAAATGTCATGGATAATAAATAATTTAAGAAATATTCTCATGTCAGGAAATTTCCAAAAACAATATTTTGAAAAAAGTTATTACGTTTAAAATTAATTTGCTTCAAAATAATAATATTAAAAAAAATTTTAAAAAATAAGCTACTTGATTTAAATATACTTTTTTTTTATCAAAATGTGTTTAAAAATTAGATTTACAAATGGGTACTTATTTTAAATTTTTCAAAAAAAAAATTAGGTAGGTATCTACTTATTATATACAATTTTAGATTCCGAGCGGAGTGATGAATGTATAATTGATTTTCCAATCATGTGTGTTTTTTTTAATTTTAAATTTTTAAATTGTTGTGTCTGCCGTCACTGTTTGGGGTAGTAGAACTGCTTCTATTTTCTTCAACAGTGTCTTGTTCGATCGGAAGGTGAATTAAGTTAGTGCATTCGGGAGGTCAAAATTTAAAATTTCCAATAGTTTTCAGAAGAAAACAGGAATTTTTACGCCTAATAGGTTTTTGACAAAATCAACTTTAGTTTTTTTTTATAATTCTAAAAAAATGACCTTAAATACATCAAATTTTGACTGAATGTTTATATTAGAATTTTCTATGAACCATAACATTATCAAGTTTTATTTTGAGCTGTTTTCGGACATTTTCAGTGTCGATTTTATTTTTTTTTCTATAAATATCAATAAAATTCTATTTGTTGGGTAAAAACTCTTGAACATTTAATTGAAGGCTCCTAATATATTTTTTTCAAAGGAAGATGAAAAATATGAAAAATCCTAAAATATTAAAAATCAATTCTTATTTTTTAAGCATTTAAAGTTCAAATATTGACAAAATACGCAAAAATGACGAAAATTCACAAATTATTTTTAGCTAGGAATTCCTAAAAGTTTTTATTCTTAAAACTCGGATTTGAAAATGTTATACAAGATTCATCATAATTTTGTCTACTTTTGTCAAAAAAAAATTTCTACCAGAAAGTCAAATAAAACTTTTATGAGCGATTGAAGTTTAAATTTTTTCAACATTGGATATTCACTCGATTTCTCATATAGATATTAGATACCTGCGATTTCTTTATTTTTTTGTAATTCAAAAATGAATAACTGTAAATTCATGAAAATTTCACTGAAAGTTCTCCATATACACCATAACAATTTTGAAAATATTTTGACTCATTTTGAGCTGTTTACGGGCAATTTCAAATTTCAATTTGTTTAGTTTTTTTTTTATAAATATCAATAAAATTTTATTTTGTGGGCTAAACAGTGTGAAAATTTAATATAAAGCTCCTGATATATTGTTACTATAGCATTTTGAAAATATTAAAAATACAAACATAGGCACAATTTTTTTTTATAAGTATTTAAAGTTCGAATTTATCAAAATGTATCAAAATCTCGAAAATTATCAATCATTGTATTTTTAAAAAATTATAAAATGTACAGTTTTCAATTTTTTATAACCATGGATTGTAAATGTAAAACAAAGATTCTCATAAATATAGTTCATACTGTAACCAAAAAATCTATAAAATATAGTTGAAGAATATAGTTTTTTTACTGACATTTTTAATTCAAATTTGGACGAAATGACATATTAAAACCAAGAATATTTCGATTTTAGTTATTTTATTGCAATTTAAAAATATTATTTGTTGGTATATGAAACTTTTAGAGTATATTGTTATATTTTATAAACACGCAAAGACATTTTCAAATGTAATTTTTTCTTTAACAATGAATTTAACCTACTATAGTAAATACTAGGTATAGTTCCTAATACTGAAATTAAATACCTAAGTACTTTATTCACAATAGTATCATCAAATACTGTATATTAACCGTATTTTCCGTATACAATGATATTATATCATTAAATTCAAATTTAATACCATTCACTACAGTGACCCCCTTGTAACCTACTGTACAGTAGAGTGACATCCACTTGCCCACCTTTTTATTGGTGTTATAAATATTATACTGTACTTAAAAAAGTCTATAAATTATTTCAAATAAATATTTAAATGATTAGAACAAGAGTTACCTATTCAATTTGTCAAGTGTTTCTGTTATACATCGTGTATAAGTTCATAAATCATAAGTGCAATTAGAGTAAAAAAAATTGCCCTAAAACACCAAGGGCCGCTAATAAACTTGGAATATTGGGCCGGAGCAGTCCCAGTCCGCCCCTGATTATACCTAATTACGTTATAATAATTTGTTTTCGTATAGATTCGCATCGATGTATTCGTGTAATCTTTATAAACGGATAATCCCATCGACGCCTTGACTCACTGCAGTGATAATATGAATAAGATTAACAACCATTTGAGCTACAAAATGGAAGGTGACAAGACAACTGACAACGGTGATGATTACTACAAGAACGTCAAGCTGGTAGGGTTTGTGAAAACAGACTCCGAAACACTTCCCGGATATAAGAACGAAGCGTTCCAATGGAGTTCGGCAGACAATTTGTCCAGTTACCCATCGTCTTACCCCAGAGAACATGACATTTTAGCTTCTAGTGAGTATTACTGCACTGAAATGTTTAAGCATTATTATTTATTAGTATCCATATAATACATTATAAATCCATACAGGGTAATTTAACCAAGTATGCTGATTCCCTCCTTTTTTATAATAGTTATTTAAAATATGAATTTTAAAATACTTAAATATTTTACTTATAAACCGTATTTTTGAATACTATTAATATTTATTGTCTTTTTAAGGAGTATCTTGTGGTGCTACAAGCTCAAGTTTTTCAATTGAGACACCCTTTTTTACTTAATTCGAGAAAACTTAAAGGAAATACAATGATAGTATAGTTTTATTTTTAATTGATTTAAAAACTAAAGAAAATGATTAGTAAACTGGGTATATTACTTTATTAGAATTTTAAAATGCTTAATAATTGTCTGAACAATAAATAATAAGAATATGACTAAACAAATATTATATATTGGCACCTACTACTTATCGGCTATAACAATTAAAATTTTTTTTGTTTATCCATATAGCCGGGCTAGTAATATGGAATATTATCCTTAGTAACTTTAATAAAGTTTAATAAGTCTAAAACTAATAGTTCGAATTTTGGTTTGGATATGTCAACATTTTGTAAAAAATTATCTGATAACTAATTTAAAGCAAAAAAGTGTGGTTCTCATTTGAAAAACAGAAGTTTATATCGCCACAGAAAGTGCTTAAATAGTATACAAAATGACAAGTATATTCAAAAAGATGGTTTAAAGTATTTTTAAAAATTGCAGAATCAGATTTTGAATAACTGCATTATTAAAGAAAAAAGGGGAGAGTATGCTTAGTGAATTACCCTGTATAAGGAATAATCATAGATGATTATTATTACTTTACCGACTTCTAATTAGTGGTGATATAGTTACCTAGATAATTCGAAGATAATTTTAAGACCTGATGTATAACTACGAAATGTATACCTAACCTAACCATGTATGTGTTTCTTACTTTCGTATTATGTACAATATAAATTTAATTTACGATATAAAAAAATCAGAAATATAGGTGACCGGCACTACATTATACAATTATAATATAATATAAACGTTAAATTATGAAGTATCTACTATAGGTATTATGTAGCCTAGTACTATAGTTGATTACAATTATTTCATATTCTTTGAAACCTCAGAAAAACAAAATAAAATATTTGTCGTTGAACAAAAATTTTCTGATTTAGTAGGTACTTACTACCTTGTGAGTATGGGAAATATAACTACTATAATTTCTTAATTAATTAATTAGTTATAACATTTGTAAAAAACGTTTTAGTATCGTCTAGATGACTTAACAAACAGTAATAATTATATTATCATTCATAAATGTCATAATACACCCGACACCGTCGCGTCCATCAGAAATATTTGAAATATATTTAATATTCAATATTTGAACTTGAAATGCTTATAAAAAAAAATAATGTGCCAATGAATTTTTAATACTTTTCATCTGTCTTTGAAACAATATATTAGTAGCATTTTATTAAGTTTTCAAGCTTATTTACCCAACAAATAACATTTTATCGATATTGATAGAATAAAAAACTAAAAAAATGTAAACTGAATATGTCAGTAACGACAGTAACCAACTCAAAATAAGTCAAAATATTTTTAAAATTGTATCGTGTGTAGAAAATACTAATATAAATATTCAGTCAAAATGTGGTGTATCGACAGTTATTCGTTTTTGAATAACAATAAAATAATAAAACCGCTACATGAGTAATCGAGTGAATATCCAATATTGTAATATTATGAACTTCAAAGTTCAAACGCTCATAAAAAATTTAATTTAATATGCTTGTAGACATTTTTTTTTGATAAAGGTAGATAAACTCATAAGTAATCTTGTATTACATTTTAAAATGTTAGATTTAAAAAAAAATTTATAAATTCTCAATTCAAAATAATTTGCTAATTTTTGTGACTTTTCGTATCTTGTGAAGATTTGAACTTTAAATATATAAAATAAAATTGTAACTGAGGATTTTTAATATTTTTCAACTGCTATTGTAACAATATAGTAGGAGCCTTGTATTAAATTTTCAAGCTTTTTTACGAATAAAGTTTTATTGACATTCATAGAAAAAAAGGTGCTCTGCTGTACAGTAGGTTACACGTAGGTCACTGTATAATGGATGATATTAAATTTTAATTCAATGATATAATATCATTGTATAAGAAAAACGATTCTGAGCGGAGACGGTATGTCAGTCTAGGTATAAGGCATATTATATACTTATCTATGGTATTAAAAAAAATTGACCTATTATAGGTACCTATAATAAATTCCAAATTAATCATATCACAATATCCATTAGGTACATATAACGCGTTATACATCAACAGCAAACCCTGATACTATCATAGATATATAATAGTGTACTTTAGAAATTTCAAGTACCCACGAATAATATTATACAATCACAACAAAATAACTAAAATAGTTATTCTATGTTTTTTATTATGTAATTTCGTCCAAATTTGAACCTTAAATGACTATAAAAATAAACTGTACTAATTTATTTTTTAGATTTTTTTGGTAACAGAATTAACTACTTACGTGGAATCTTGTTTTAAATTTTCAATCCTTAGATATAAAAGTTGAACATTTTATACATTTTTAACTACAAAATAATTATTCAATTTTAAATTTGATAAATTTTGTCAAAATTCGATCTTTAAATGCTTATAAAAAAAATTGTGCCTATGTATTTTTTATATTTTGTAACTGATATTGTAAAAATATATCAGGAGCCTTGTATTAAATTTTTACACTTTTTGGCCCAACCGATTAACTTTATTGATATTTATAGAAAAAAAAACTAAAATAATTGAAAACTGAAAAGAGTCAAAATATTTTCGAAATTGTATGGTGTATAGGAATAAACTTATAAACATTCAGTGAAATTTTCATGTATCTACTGTCGTTCGTTTTTGAATTACAACAAAATAAGGAAATCGCTACATGAGAAATCGAGTGAATATCCAATATTGTAAAAATTTGAATTTCAAAAGCTCATAAAAATTTAATTTGACTTTATTATAGACATTTATTTCTTGATAAAAGTAGATAATCTTATAAGGAATCTTGTATCACATTTTAAATTCTTAGATTTAAAAAGAAAAATTTTTACGAATTCTTAACTCAAAATAATTTGTATTAAATTTTCAAGCTTTTTCAACCAACAAATAAAATTTTATTCGTTGGGTCAAAAAGTTCGAAAATGTAATACAAGGGGCATCTAATATATTGTTACAATAATAGTTGGAAACAAAATATGTATAATAGTGCAAATTATTTTGAGTTAAATTTAATACAAGATATTTCTCATAAGTTTGTTTAGCTTTACTAAAAAAAATGTCTACTTACTTACTTGTTTACTTGATTTCTGATATTGCGATTTTCTTATTTTGTTGTAATTAAAAAACGAATAACTGTAGGTACTTGAATTTTACAACATATGTTTATTTTATCAATTCCTATACTTAATAAAATTTTAAAAATGTTTTGAATCGTTTTGAGCTGCTTACGGACATTTTTTTTAGTTCTTTTCTATGAATGTCAATACATTTTTATTTGTTGGGTCAAAAAGCATGAAAATTTAATACAAGGTTCCTGATCTATTGTTACAATAGCAGTTGGAAAATATTAAAAATACATTAGTACAATTTTTTACAAGCATTTAAAGTTCGAATTTTGACAAAATGTATAACATCGAAAATTTAAAGAATATTTTGTAGTCAAACATTTTTAAAATGTTTTATAGCTAAAAATTGAAAATTTAAAACAAGGTTCCTCGTAAATAAGTTATTCTGTAACCAAATAATCTAAAAATGTAAAAACACAGTGGTTTTTTGTAGTTATTTTATGTTCATAATTTGACGAAATTAGATATTTAAACGAAGAAGAACGATTTCAGTTTTGTGTTATTTAAAAGTATTGTTCGTGGATACTTGAAACTTCTAAAATATAATATTATATACAAATATGATAATAAACAAATAATAATAATTCAACTTAACCGGCTATACCGTATTAATAATAACAATTTAACTATAATACATAATATCCTAGGCTGACAACTGTCTCCGCTCAGAATCGTTTTTCGTATACAATAATATAATTATATCATTGAATTCAAATTTAACACGATTCATTAAAGTCACTCACTTGTAACATACTGTATAGCAGAGCGACTTTTTATTTATTTATGATAATTAAGTTGGAGCTTGTAAAATGATAAGCTCACACAGGCACACCCAACGCCCAAAAAATAAAAATAATTACCATGTTTATCACAAAACGATTTTTCTGATATTAGATAAAAATATTTCACACTAACGATTGACTCTATAATCTGTCCCATGTTATATTTCATTAAACAAGGCGGCCATTCTTATTACTCAGCTACTCATGAACGATGTTCCACTAATTCGTGGTAATAATCAATTTTAATTATTTATTACGCGTTTCTTACATAATATAGAAATTATAGATAATAGATAAATATCATAATATATGATAAATGGTAATAAATAAATACAGATGGCTTAATTTTTAAATCAGATGCCGTGTATTTTTTTAATTGTTAAGGTATACGCGCATTTACGAAATGGTAAATGGGTATTATACCCCCCCCCCCCAAACACCACTGAAATTTGGGACAGGTAGGCATTTTTCAAATTCTCCGAATCTTGTGTGCAACTAAGACATTTCCGTCTCCGGGTAAGGTTAGGTTAGGTTGGTTACATAGGCTATGTAAGTACTCGTTGTTCTGGGGTTTCCCCAATATTTTTTTACCGGTTCTGGTAATTATAATTATAACATGTGCTTGTAGGTAGCCTCCCGCCTAAAAAAACGCGTACCTATAGGCTATAATATATACAAGATGTATGTATGAACATTGCACACCTTTCTAGTTAATCGTGACAGAAGTCGGAACCTAACCCCTTCCACTACATCACTGATGACGTAGTAACCGGA